TATCATCCAATGAACATACATTACGGTCACTATTTTGAATAAATTAACTTTCGGTTGTACGCGCGAAAGTGACTTGAAAGGGAGGTCACTCTTGTTTAGCTTCGTTTTCATGTCGTGTTTACGCTGGCAAGTAAAGCTGAAGTGAAACGAATGCATGTTTTTTAAAACAAATTAATATGTGTTTTTATAGGTTTGCATCCAATAAATCCCAGACAGGGTACAAACTGCAATGAGAGTGTACAATTGTACTTGAAGATAAAAAATCGTAATAAATACGCCAGGTAGGCAGTAACAAACACTCTTCTTCACAACAAATATCTCTAGAATAACGTTTGATGACCTGACGGTCAAAACTAGAAACTGTCAACTCCTGGACAGTAAAATCACAACGCAATGGACAGTTTGTTTGCTAAACGTGAACAACTCCATATAAAATGTACAGATTGATTTTTCGACGATAATTGACAAAAATACTGACGCATTAAAGCCTAAACCGAGAATGAAGACCTAAAATCACTATATCTAAGAATTGACAGCAAAAAAGGTTTGTCTGCTGATGAGGATGTCATTTTTCGTGTTGAAACGATCATTTTCCGCGATTTTGTTTCGATACTCAGGAGGGTGCCCTCGCTTAACGCGCAATTGTAATAAATATAGAGGGTGTCAAACAATTACTGAAAGATCTGTAACTTTCTAGACCCGTCTGCCAAATGGCCAAACCTGATATACTTGCAAAAAATGCAAAAGCGAGGGAAAACTTACCATTACTCTTGCGCCACGTGTTCATCTTTCACTGTCCAGCGAGGAAATGGAGTTGCTTTTGGGGCAACTCCACATTTCGCGTGGACAGCGCTTCCACCCTGTGATAGTGAAACAGGTGTTTTCAGTCTGTTGTGGGGTTTTTGCTCTATAACGAGGACATAGTTGTTTAAATTTGGGACTGTTATATGATGAGGACCTGGTTGTTGTTTTCAGTGTGTGGCCTGGCTGTATAGTGAGGATCTGGAGGTTTGTGTAGATTGGTTGTATACTGATTGACTTCATAATGAAGACAGAATGGTTTCAGTGTGTGGCCTGGCTGTATAATGAGGACCTGTTGGTTTCATTGTGTGGCCTGGCTGTATAATGAGGACCTGATGGTTTCAGTGTGTGGCCTGGCTGTATAATGAGGACCTGTTGGTTTCAGTGTGTGGCCTGGCTGTATAATAAGGACCTGATGGTTTCAGTGTGTGGCCTGGCTGTATAATAAGGACCTGATGGTTTCAGTGTGTGGCCTGGCTGTATAATAAGGACCTGATGGTTTCAGTGTGTGACCTGGCTGTATAATGAGGACCTGATGGTTTCAGTGTGTGACCTGGCTGTATAATGAGGACCTGATGGTTTCAGTGTGTGACCTGGCTGTATAAAAAGGACCTGATGGTTTCAGTGTGTGACCTGGCTGTATAATGAGGACCTGATGGTATTCAATGTGTGACCTGGCTGTATAATAAGGACCTGATGGTTTCAATGTGTGACCTGGCTGTATAATGAGGACCTGGTGGTTTCAGTGTGTGACCTGGCTGTATAATGAGGACCTGATGGTTTCAGTGTGTGACCTGGCTGTATAATGAGTGACCTGGCTGGTTTCAGTGTGTGACCTGGCTGTATAATGAGGACCTGATGGTTTCAGTGTGTGACCTGGCTGCTGTATAATAATGAGGACCTGTTGGTTTCAGTGTGTCACCTGGCTGTATAATGAGGACCTGATGGTTTCAATGTGCGACCTGGCTGTATAATACCTGGTGGACCTGTTGGTTTCAATGTGCGACCTGGCTGTATAATAAGGACCTGATGGTTTCAATGTGCGACCTGATGGTTTGCTGTATAATAAGGACCTGATGGTTTCAAGTGTGCGACCTGGCTGTATAATAAGGACCTGTTGGTTTCAATGTGTGACCTGGCTGTATAATGAGGACCTGATGGTTTCAATGTGTGACCTGGCTGTATAATAAGGACCTGATGGTTTCATACGCTAACATACTGAGGATCTCATGGTTTCAGTACACACGCTAACATACTCACTCACACACACACGCTTATCATAGGATGCATTCTCGTGTCATCATAACATAACCGCATGATGAATCTAGAAACACACACACTTTTCGCTAACATACTCACCTCACACACATACTCACACTACATATCACTCACTCACACACACACACAACGAACTCTCTCTCTCACACACACACGCTAACATACTCACTCACACACACACGCTATCATACTCACTACACACACACGCACACACACACGCTATCATACTCACTCACACACACACGCTAACATACTCACTCACACACACACGCACACTCTGACATACTCACTCACCCATGAACACATACTCACGCTCTCACACACACGCTAACATACTCACACACACGCTAACACACACACACTGACACACTCACATACTCACTCTCACCCATGAACACACATGCTAACATACTCACACACACACACGCTAACATACTCATTCACTCACACACACACACACTCTGACATACTCACTCACCCATGAACACATCACTCTCACTCACACACACACGCTAACATACTCACTCACACACACACTACCACACACTCACATACTCACTCACCACATGAACACATACTCTCACTCACACACACGCTAAGATACTCACTCACACACACACGCACACTCTGACATACTCACTCACCCTTGAACACACATCACTCACTCACACACACGCTAACATACTCACTCACACACACACGCACACTCTGACATACTCACTCACCCATGAACACATACTCTCTCACACACACACGCTAACATACTCACTCACACACACACTGACACACTCACATACTCACTCACCCATGAACACATACTCACTCACACACACACGCTAACATACTCATTCACTCACACACACACGCACACTCTGACATACTCACTCACCCATGAACACATACTCTCTCACACACACACGCTAACATACTCACTCATTCTCTCGCACACACTCTAACATGCTCACATACTCACTCATGCCCACTACCCTTCTACGTCGAAACACGTATGATCTCATTCACTCACTCACACACTAACATACTCTCTCACTTACTCACATTCATAACCATGAACTCACTCACATACACACTATCATATTAACTCACTCACTCATACCCACAAACTCACTCACTTACACACTGACATACTCACTCACTCACATTCATACCCACAAACTCACTCACTCACTCACATACACACCAACACGCTCAGTCACTAACATTCATACCCACAAAATCACTCAGTCACTCACAAACACACTCACTCACTAACATTCATACCCACAAACTCACTCACTCACATACACACCAACACGCTCACTCACAAACATTCATACCCACAAACTCACTCACTCAATCAATCCCTTACACACTGAAATACTCACTCACTAACATTCATACCCACAAACTCACTCACAATCTCTCTAACTGACTCACATTTGTTCACGACGGAACACGAATTATAGATTTGAGAGACTCTATTATTTACCAGGATCGTCGTTCGAATCCCCGATTCGTCTCAGTTCGCATCCTTGATCTCCCAGCACCTACCCCACCATGGGTTCTCCGAATGCCATTTGATGGCGATGGTACAAACGTCTTGGATGTAGTCCTTGTGTAACACAGGGTGCCACTGTGTTTATTTGAACAGCATTGTTTCTGTGACTTTAGTTTACCAGTATTTTCAAAGACTATATTATGTCATCGTATCCCAATTGCGTAGATCGATGCTCATGATGTTGATCACTGGAGTGTCTGGTCCAAACTCGATTATTTACAGACCGCCGCCATATAGCTGGAATATTGCTGAGGGCGCCGTTAAACTAAACTCACTCACTAACTCATCAACAATAGCTGACACTATAAAACAGGCTTATGTCCGGATAAAATTAAGGTTTGTCTTGGTTGTTGTTTAACAGGCAATATTCGCCTCTTACGACAAGCATGGGTTGCTGAAGACCTGTTTCAACCCGGGTCTGCACGGGTCGATAAAGGAGTCACATTCAGGTCTCACTACATGGCAAGTGGCTGGAACAGCCCAATTCACCTCTACACACGGTGAAAGAGTTATTAACGACGATAATATATGGATGCCAGACGAGTTTATTTGTATTCGTTACGCGTTGTGACTGACTGACTGACTGAGTTTGGTTTTACGCCGCTTTTAGCAATATTCCAGCAATATCACGGCGGGGGACACCAGAAAATGGGCTTCACACATTGTACCCATGTGGGGATTCGAACCCGGGTCTTCGGCGTGACGAGCCAACGCTTTAACCATTAGGCTACCCCACCGCCCCGTTACGCGTTGTGAATTAAAACCATTTATATACCAAAACATCTGTGTGTCCCAATGTTTATTGCCTAATTGTAGCAATGCAAGAGAAGGAGACGAATATAATTAAACGTTTTTATTGAACAGATAGAGGTAAATTTGATCTGGTGCGTTTGCTTCTTGCGTACATCTCTGGCATTTTCGGCCTTGATCTTTCACTGAAATAAAACCATAGAATGACGCTACTTACGAGAATAACTCATATCTCTCAAACTATTTTATCAGGACGATACAAACGATTTCGAATTCATGAATTAACCGTATTTCCAACACGTGTTAAATCTAAAACGGTTGCCACTTTATATTTCACAGCCAACTGGATCAAAAGTCGTCTGGGTTTTTTCTACGTCATAATGTTACAATAACGAGAAAGTTAATTTCCTTAAAATATGAGATGAAGAAAATGAGTGGAGACTATTGTACATCAGATATATATTGAGGCAATTTTAATCATCCAGATTATTGCATCTGTAGAAAATATTATGAGGTTATATTGAACTGGACGATTTTGATGTTAACATGATTTGATCAAGGCATCGGAAAATGAAGATGACGTGGACGTGCTTACCTGACGTAGTCTCCAGGGAATCTAATGGATCATGCTGTGCCCATTAGCATATGGGCTGCTGAGGTGATATACGGCGCTTTGAGCTCCAGTGTAGGGATATGTGGCAACTGAGCCGGCGTAGGGATATGTGCCAACTGCACCGGCGGAGGGATATGCACCAAGTGATCCGGGGTAGAGTTGTGAACCAGCAGATCCGGCGTAGGGATATGAGGCAACTGAGCCGGCGTAGGGATATGTGCCAACTGCACCGGCGGAGGGATATGTACCAAGTGATCCGGCGTAGGGATATGAACCAGCTGCGCCGGCGTAGGGATATGAGGCAACTGAACCAGCGTAGGGATATGTGCCAACTGCACCGGCGGAGGGATATGTACCAACTGCACCGGCGGAGGGATATGTACCAAGTGAACTAGCTGCGCCGGTGTAGGGATATGAAGCAACTGAGCCTGCGTAGGGATATGAGCCAGCTGCACCAGCGTAGGGATATGAAGCAACTGAGCCTGCGTAGGGATATGAGCCAGCTGCACCGGCGTAGGGATAGGATGCACCGTGAGCGGCGTATGGAGCGTCTTGGTGTATGTAGGGATATGAGGCGGCGCCGCCATAGTAAGGATATGAGACTCCGTGACTCATGTAAGGGCTGTGAAGACTGTGGAGACTCGCCCTTGCAAGAAGGCCATGAATGCCGGACAAGTATCGGAAAGGGTAGTGGGCACGGGCAATCGCTGCCACGGCCATCAACACGAGGAGGATTTGGACTGTCTTCATGGCTGAGCTGAAATTGTAAAAGGAGTTCGGTTAAAGCCACTTTTAATGTTGCACGGTTGTGATGAAAATCTAAACTAGAAAATTTAAATGAAAATTCAAAACAATCAAATGAATATTGAAACTAGAGCCCTGGGCCTAGATTTTGGAAGCTCTCTTAGCGCTAAGATAGTCGTAAGTGGTATACATTAAAATTAACTTACGACTATGTTAGCGCTAAGAGAGCTTCGAAAATTTAGGCTCTGTTTCACAATGCAATCTTAGCTATGACCACTGTAAGGCACTGTGGGGCGGCTGGGGTAGCGTAGTGGTGTTAAAGCGTTCGCTCGTCCAGCCGGAGACCCGGGTTTGATTCCCCACATGGGTACAATGTGTGAAGCCCATTTCTGGTGTCTCCCATCGTGATGTTGCTGGTATATTGCTTAAAGCGGCGTAAAAGTAAACTCACTCCTCACTCACTCACAGTCGTAGTAGTAAGGATGACCCATGATACTATATACATCAGTATTAATCATCACAAAACGTTTCTGATAACTGAAATTATAAATAACTATACTTCTATGGATGACGCAACATTCGAGTCTGCTTGTTATGTCAATGCATAGGGTATAGCTTGCCGTTTTAATGTGCATTCGATTTAGGCTGTTAGCATTCCTTCAATTACTGTTATTTCTAAAGAACATGAAAGTATCCAAATATTTAATCTAAAATGTGTTAGAAACATTCGTTGGGCATACAAGCGTTCATTCTAAAATGATATAATGTGAATATGACACGTCAACGCCAGAGAATAGCCAGTCTCGATTATCCGCCCAAACAGATTCCATTGAGCGTAGAAGGAAAAATAACAGTGATAACTATATAAATGGACCTCTCTATAGGTAATGCACAAAGTGTGGGGCGGCGGGGAAGCCTACTGGTTAAATCGTTCGCTCGTCACGCTGAAGGCCCAGGTTCGATTCCCCAGTGTGTGAAGCCCATCCCTGTTGCTGGGATATTGGTAAACTTACTCACTCACTACACGAAACGGCGAAGAGCGAGTGACTTTAGTTTTACACCGCACTCAGCAATATTCCAGCTACATGGCGGCGGTATGTAGATAATCCAGTCTCGACCAGACAATCCAGTGATCAGCAGCATGAGCATCGATCTGCGCAATTGGGATACCATGACATGTGTCAACCAAGTCAACGAGCCTGACCACCTGATCCCGTTAGTTGCCTCTTACGACAAACATGGGTTACTGAAGATCAATATTCTAACCCGGACCTTCACAGGTCACATTGAAGAGCGATTGACAGCAGTACGAGTACCCAATGGGACTCAGTACTCGTGCTGCTGTCAATCGCTCTTCACAGTGCCTCGACGGTGGCCCTCGAGGACCAAAACCTTTGTACTCCTCTGTACTCAAGCTTATCCATTTCTCCCGTTCCAGTAGGGGTACATGTGATTAGATGTCACGTGACCGGAAACTAGCGACATGTGCATGTCAATATTACGGTTATGTGAAAGATATAAACCATTCTTCAATATCATACAGTAATTTTTATCATGCACATATGTTTGGGGTTTTTTATAAATCATTTTTTAGGTACAAAACCATGACATCAAAAAACAGTCAAATATAACCATGCATCTGTATACAGAGTATGGCAAGCATATTATAACAAATGACATTGTAGGAAAATGGGTCGGTTGTACGTTAGTATTAATCAAACAGTTGGTGACAATCAGACCAGAATCCAACAAATTTGGTAAAATTACAAGAAGAGATGGCATGTGTTCTCTCGATATTGTATACTTTACTTATTTCATTTCTGATCATATCGAAACTTGGTGTACAAGTATATATTTGTATTTTAAAAAGAGTAAATTTTAAAACTGTTATCAGGAGATTAACACGTTTTGATAGCCCCTCGTATCTAAACATCTTGGCACTTTAAATCTTTATAAAGATATTAAACTTATGCAATTCCTAAAAAGACAAGCAAGACCGCCTTGAGGTCAATGACCACAAATATGTGTATGTCATTTCATTTCCTCAACACTCGTTAATGGTTGAGATTACGAAACCAAAAAATAGTAATTTAAAAAATTTAAAAGGCAATTTTTTACTCACAGATTTCCGGCAATCTTGAACATCAGATAAGAATCTGCTACAAGATCTGGAAACTCTTCCTTTTTCCTGAGGTTTATACGGTCATTTTGACAGGCGATGGAAATAGCGTGATCAATCGCAACATCCCTGTTGCTCTACCCTCAGGTGTGGGAATGTTTTTTTAACCTATCTGTGCTGGACATTCTTTAATAAAAGAAATATATTTTGCACCTTCAATTTCTGTTTCAGTGCACTTGAAAGGGTACATTTGATTTCAACATATATACTTTATTCACTGTGAAAAGGGATTGGGGACAAGTTATCCAACTTAATATACCCCCCTCCCTGATCTTTACATACATGCATTGTCAATATTATCTATCTTAAGACTGAGTGAGTGAGTTTAGTTTTACGCCGCACCCAACAATATTCCAGCTATATGGCAGCGGACTGTAAATAATCGAGTCTGGACCAGACAATCCAGAGATCAACATCATGAGCAACGATCTGCGTAACTGGGAACCGATGACATGTGTCAACTAAGTCAGCGAGCCTGACCACCCGATCCCGTTTCTCGCCTCTTACGACAAGAATGGGTTACTGAAGATCAATATTCTAACCTGGACCTTCACAGGTCCTGTCTTAGGAAGGAATGGAGAGAATGTATAGGCATGTTAAAGAGAGAATAGAGGAAGGGACACAACTTATGTGATCATTGATTGATACACTAAAGTTTGTACACATTTGAAAACATATTCTTTCTGTTGAATAGTCATATCTGGATTTCCAAGTAACATTAAGGACAATGTGGTTGGAGAGTCACATTTTACAATACTTTTCAAATTTAACATTAATGTTAATTTATAGGGTTACTCTGAAGGTTTGGTTAAAATTAAGTCTTCAATATACATTCTTCACACAAAAAAAGAAACGCATAGGTGGTTTTGAGATTATTTGACGCATGTAGCTGTGGCAAAAACAATACAAATATACTATTTCTTTCCTAAACGTCATCTGTGTGTGATTGTAAACAACTTCAGCGCCAAAATGCAGTAATTTTAACTAACGTTTTCCCTTGTCTTAGAAGCGTTTGAAGAAATCTTCGCCAAAACGTCACCACGAAAACATGCAAAGCCGAGCAGTTATTGCTAACAGTGCTCGTCACACAAAGTATGGACTTTGAGGCCATCTTGTAGACTCAAGTAAACAGAAACACAACAAAACAGGCTACTGTTGTGTTGGCGAACTCTTTGTCTATAGACGCGTGGATTTTCACCATTTTACCATTGAAACTCCATGAGTGAGAGAGTGAGTTTTAGTTTTACTCCGCTTTTAGCAATATTCCAGCAATATCACATCGGGGACACCAGAAATGGAATTCACCTATTGTACCCATGTGGGGAATCGAACCCGGGTCTTCGGCGTGACGAGCGAACGCTTTAACCACTAGACTACCCCACCGCCCCTGAAATTACATGAAATAATTGCTCTTAAGCAAACGCAATAAATTCTTCTAACAATAGCTTATGCGTTTCTTTATTTATTTGAAGAGTGTATCTAAAATCCACAGCATTAGCTATATGCAAACGGACTTTACCTCATTTCATCATTATAACAGCACTATGTAATGTCAACGCTATAAACAATAATCATTTTTTGATTATCTGTTGGAACAGATTCCAAAGAGACAAAACAGAAAATGTATGAGCCAGTGACTATGCTTTTACGACCGATGTTACAAATTACATCAAGACTGGGAACACATTAAAAATAAGGTTCATACATGTACCCATAACGAGCGAACGCTTAATCCACTGGACTCCCCCATTTACACTAACAATTATATGAATGGATCGCCGAAAATTCATAACGGCAAAAGGCCACTCGTGTCAACCAACTCCATATATATATATATATATATATGCTGAAACAAAAACATATAATTTCTGACGCTAAATTGAAGTGAAATAAGATTAGGGCGAGAATACATTTCCTTAAAGCCATATGTTACGCAATAACACCCGGGATACAGAATTTGCAACACCTCTAATCCCACCCAGTCCTGTGCCTGAAGCATCATCTATTTTCTCCTTGAAGGTAAAGAATATGTCCAGCCATCAATCATGTCACATCTGAGACGAAGCCATGATAGTGTGACGTAAAAACCCTTTTCAAATCTCAGCAATACGGAATCTAGGTCACGTTGCACAATATAAACGTGTCCCAAGTGTTTACTGGAAACAATCCGAATAACATCTTGTACACCTTTTCCAAAATTAGATATCTCTGATAAAAGTTTAAAAAACGTAATATTTGTTAAATTGAATCCCACAATGAAGTAGTGTGTGCATTATCAAGAACATATATGTGTAGCATACTGCATATCAGGTGACAATACAGACGATCCATGACCTTTCCAACTATACCATTTCAGTGAAACCACCATTCGAAGAGAAGAAACTGATAACGAGTGTGAAGACATGGAAGAGAAGAAACTGATAACGAGTGTGAAGACATGGAAGAGAAGAAACTGACAACGATAACGAGTGTGAAGACATGGAAGAGAAGAAACTGATAACGAGTGTGAAGACATGGAAGAGAAGAAACTGATAACGAGTGTGAAGACATGGAAGAGAAGAAACTGATAACGAGTGTGAAGACATGGAAGAGAAGAAACTGATAACGAGTGTGAAGACATGGAAGAGAAGAAACTGATAACGAGTGTGAAGACATGTAAGAGAAGAAACTGATAACGAGTGTGAAGACATGGAAGAGAAGAAACTGATAACGAGCGTGAAGTGAAGACATGGAAGAGAAGAAGAAACTGATAACGAGTGTGAAGACATGGAAGAGAAGAAACCGATAACGAGTGTGAAGACATGTAAGAGAAGAAACTGATAACGAG